ACCATTAGCTGAATGTACTATCAATAAAATCCTGGGTCGCAAGTACTCACCTTAATATTTAAAAAAAAAAAAAAGTAAAATATGTGAATTGATAATTTATCTTAGTAATTTAGTAGTTTCATAAAAAATAGAAGCTTACAAAGATGTTAATAATATACATATTCCTATGAAAGAAGCACTTAATGATGCTCAGATCATTGAAACTTTATTAGTAAAGCAATTAGAAAATAAGCAAGATAATCCAGATAATTCTAATAAAGAACCACTAAAGATTTTTGCTTCTGAAGAATTAAACAGATTAAAAAATTTTATCTTATTTGCTGAACAACATATGTGTGATGTTTTTTTTCTTAATAACAATAACTTAAAGTTTTCCACAAATACTTACTATTAATGAAATGAAAAGTTGCAGAATTTATGAAACAGAAATTTATTATAGATTTTTTCAGATCAGCAAACCAAAATATGACAATTAATAATAGATTTTTTCTTAATGATTTGGAGTTCTCGAACAATGATAATGGCATTTATGATAATAATTATTTTTTTGATAACAATGACTTTCCTAACAATGATCATTTTTCAGATAATAATGACTTTCTTGATAATGATTATTTTTCTGATTCTAACTATTTTTCTAAATATAAAAGGTTTTTTAATAACTATAATAGTTCTTCCAATGATATTATAACTAACTAGGTTATTAAATTTCTGTTAAAAGATATATAATTGTTATTTTTAAGTTCATATAATTATTATAAATTACTATCTATTAGTTATACAGAGAATAAACATATACTTAAAATAAAATAAATTAAATATGCATGTTAAATATCTTATATATATAGTAACTATAAAATATAGATTATACTGTAATAATATAACTGAAGTAAGACACATTGAGATAACCTTTTGAATGCAGATGCTTTGTACATCATATTTTGTTAAAGTTCCATATTTTATTTTAAAAAATAATATTGTTATAGTTATAGCTATTAGGTGAATCTTGAGGTTTCATGCTGATAAAATGGCAAAACCTTAGTTTTAACTTTTGCCAAAAATTTTAAAAAGGCAAAATGACAAAACTGGCAAAACATAATGAAACTGGTAAAGTATAGCAAAGCTGATAAAATATGGTTAAACTGATAAAATATAGTAAAACTGGTGAAATGTGGCAAAACAGTAAAATATAGCAAAACAGGAAGAATAATTTATAACATTATAAATAGTTGTAACATTGCTCACAAAAAAATGTAGCTTATATCATAATTAAAGCTGAAGAAGAAGCACAATATTATTTATATACATTATCATTTATTTAAAATGTAATTTTATAGAAGAATATTATATATAGATATATTTTTTATCTATATTATATAATGTGATAGTAGTAATTCTTTCTATAAATTACTTATACCAAAACTACAAAAAAACATTTGATTATTTCTTAACATTCTATTAAGTAAACCTTACTTAACCTCCTAAGTAAAGTTGTTCAGCATACTTTTTCCTTCTAGGCAACTGTGTTTTATTTCTCAATAAAACTTGGCTGCTGAGAAAGGTTCCAAAAACTAAGTTTTTGGTTTTATTTATTTACACATAATTTTACTAATTAAATCTTTCATAGTACCTATTCAAACATTGTTCAGCTCACTAAAACGAACATTTTGATATATAATTTGTTAAAACTGGACTCAAACTCATTGAGATACAATCAAAAAGCAAAAACAAAAACTTGCCTTTTACAGGTTTTTTTACAGGTTTTTTTTATTGGCAATTTTAGGAAAACTTGCTAGGTTGCTCTAGAAATTTCACTTTTCTAAGACCCAATAGAATTTTCTAAATATTCAATCAGCTTATCTGTAACCTAAACTCTTTTTCAAACTTTTCTAATTAGTTTAAAAACCTTTAAACAAACTAAATTTTTTTAAAAAATATACCTAATAATCTATTTTTAGATCAAAATGCCAACTCCAATAACAACTATACCAGATACTATTGACCTTGACTATTTTTACCAGAAGTGTTTTAAAAGCTTCAGAATTGGTATTTATAAAGATGTAACAACTTTATCTCATTCTATTTCTGCAAACAAACAACCCAAAAATTGCAATATTATTGAACTTAGAGGAAGTACTAAATGCAGTCATTACTTTAAAGCATTTGAATTTAGTTCTGTTGTTACATGTTTTTGTAATAAATATCACACATATTTTATCTCAATAACCAATCAAACCTACAAACAACATGAAACTACAAATGCTATCAAAAAACTTAAAGACCAAAAAACTTTAGCAAACACAATTACAAATTCTACTGAATTTGTTTTGCCTTTATCTACAGTATCACCTTTATCTACTATATATAACCATGTCTGTGCTAAATGTAACCTACCAATTACATGTAAAAAAATGAATAACCAACATTATCTGACAACTAATACTACTTTATATAATAATAAACCTTATCATAAAGCCTGTACTAGCACACAACAATTTGCTCAACAATCAAGCTCTTTTCCTACATTTATTCAAAAACTTCAACAAATAATAAGCTCCTACAACCTACTTGTATCTGAACTTAACTTTACAACATCATCTAGCAATAATAACAATACTACAATGATATAGAACAGGACAACAATATCATTAATAATAATAATTAACAACAATACCAACAACAATAACAACTACTATTTCAAAACCTACCTTACTCTTAGGAACAACAACAACAGCAACAATAGCAACAACAGCAACAAACAAATAACTAACAACAACAGCCAATGTAAACTAATACTACTAATAATCAACAAAAAATTAAAGCCAACCCAACATTTAACTGGCTTACTAATTTCTTAATCTCTAATAATATAAAAGACAAATCACAACTTCAAACAGAATTCTCAAGAAAAATTTTCAATATTCTTAAATTCTATCTACATGATTTCTATACTGGCAAAGAAATCAAATCTGAAACTTCTAAACAAAAAGCTTTTAAAGCCAGCTTTTATTACATCATTCACAAAATGGCTAGAGACAGACCTGAATTACTTACCAAATTTATCCAAAAAACTAATCCCAATACTAACAAAGCAATTACCATTCTTTTCGATATATTCAAAAAAACTCTTAAAAAACTTATCCTAGCATTTACAACAATTCTTTTCACAAAACTCAACTAATCTAAAATCTTTGCCTCTTTAGCTACTATCCTTCTATATACCAACCAAATCATCTTCAAATCTGCATTAACTTAGCTTGAATTCATCTATATCTTTCAAACAACAATTAAGCAATTGATTATATCAAATTTGCTAAAAACTTCCAACTTTGATCTAAAAGATTTATATCATATCAAAAGTATCTGACTTTGACAAAGAAAAACAATATATCATAATTAGATCTAATAATAAATTCAATGTTTATCTTAATTTTAACATTTCAAAAATATTCTTTCATCAAAAACTTAATATTTCATCTCTTGCAAACTCCTTAGACTATTTAAAACAATGGTTCAAATAATTCTTTCCAATATATAGTCAACAATTTACTCAAACACTTGATAAAACTAAAGTATTTAACTCTCTAAAATATCAAATCTGACAAAAATTTATTTTTTATCTTAAAGAAACTCTACCTACAGAAATACAATTTCAACAACCTCACAATTTATTAAAATGTCAAAATAAAACTATAAAACTAGCCAACTTTCATATTTTTACTTGTAAAGAAGAAACTTGTTCTTATTTAAAAAAAACAGAATCCAAAAACAAAGGAATAGAACCAGAAAATACAAACCTATCTATCACAACTTCTCTATCTTAACTTCAACACAACTTTTCATAATTATTAAATAACATCATTTTTTTTTTTTTTTTTTTTTTTTTTTTTTTATTTATTTATTTATATAATATCATAGTAGAAACTTTAAAATACAATAAGAAATTTAATTACAGAAAAAAATTTCCAAAATAAAGATTTTTAAACTACATTTATGTTGCTAAAAAATAGACACCCAATGTAACATCACACTACCTATTTCCTAATAAGTGCTATAGATAATTGTTTCAAATTATTTTCTAGCTAGGATAAGTTGGAAAAAACTTTTTGAATTTTTTTTTAAATTTTGTTAATCAAAGATTTTTAAATAAAATTATATTGGATCCTTTTTTAAATTTTGTTGATTAAAGATTATCAAATGAAATTATATTAGACATTTCTCAAACTTCTTTAAATTAAAGATTATTAACAGATATTATAAACAAAGATTTTATTAATTTTTGCTTATATATTGTATTGTCACTTATAAGATTATATGTAAAATTAAATCAAAAAACATTTTAGTTTAAGATTAGAGTCAGAATTAGACTAAGATGACAGCTTTAATTAAGTGCTTCTACTCTAAAATTTTGTAAAGAATTTTTTAAATAGAATATAAGAGGTTGCTTTATAATCAAAATTTTAAGTTACAAATGATTTTTTAGAAATGATCATGTTTTGTTTAAATTTTATATTACATCTGATCTTGTATTATAATTAGTTAATTAGAGTAGTGATACATCACTATGCATAGTGATAAATTATAATTATAGATAGATTTCATATGCATTAATATGCATTTATATATATACTTTGTTTTATATGCATTTTATCTTATTAAGATTTCTCTCCTCTTATATATATAAAACATTTTGTATACAACAATGTGCATTTATAAACATATTATTAATATATATATATTTTAATTATAATACTGATATTTTTTCTATAAAAACTTTTTTTTTTTTAAAGTGAATTTTTGCTTATATCTTTATTGATTTGTTAAAGAAGCCTCTAGGGGCTTCTCTGAATATAAATTACAAACTTATTCTAA